ATGCAGTCGATGTATAGCATATGCAACCCAGCATAATTCGGGTTCAAGATGAGAAGAAATTATTTAACAATTAAGTACAAGGTCGGATTTAGGCCCGCCTGTAGAAGCGCGGCTGGGAGGGGGGGGGGGGGGGGGGGGGGGATCCAGATTTACATAGGTCGGCACGACAGAAGTTAACGCGCAAGTTGTATGTGGTTCTCAAATTGTGAGAGACACGGGTATGTCGTACCGTTCAACAAGCACGTAACATGCGCTTGTCATTCGCAGTTTAAGGTCTACAAACGACGTCGCAAGAAACACCAAAACGAGCGTGGAATGGCATGAATAAAACTTCTCAAAGTTTAACCTTTACGCTGCAGGCAGGGGAGAAGGTCGGAAGCTTCCAATGTTTTCATGGGCATCTCCCGAATGGTCTTGAGCAAGGTGTGTAAATTGTGGAGAACTGAGCTCACGCCATTTTTACAGGTGAACAAATTGGAGTTTCGGACATTGGTTGTGCATGGTCTGTGGCTTGTTTCTCGAGGTCATGTCGGTAACATGCTGCTTAGAAGCAAAAATGCCGTCGTTTTTCGCAATAAGTACGCTAAAAAGAGGTCATCAAGATCAAATGTTTTTACTGCACACTCTGAAGCATATTGCTATGTATGTTCTGACTGTTTTTGCAATGTCGTGTCATCCAAGGTCAAACTAAGTTAAACTGTCAGGTTGGGGAACATATCTGACAGTCTGAACATCATAGTTTTCAAACTTAATAGCACGTATAATACAGCTTTGAAAGACGTTTCGAGCGCTGTTTCCCCATTCATGTGGGTCGTGTAGTTCTTGATATAAGTGGACGGGTCGATGCACCAATAGCAGGGCGAGGCTTAGGAATCCCACACGGTCTGCACACCAACTTTTACACTACCTGCCTAGCGCACCCTTATGTCACTTCAGGCTGTGCCTGTGGGCAGCGGGCCGTTAGCTCTGATCACTCACCTTAGCTGAATGAAACGCATCGCGTAATGCCGTCGCTTTAATGCAACTTGGTTTGGTCTCAGCGCATTTGCCGCACATGCGCCTCTACAGGCATATCGTATATTTTAAATCACCGCAAGAAAGTATGGTGTAATGCTAGAGGTGTGCAAAATCAGAATCGAAGTCCATTCCATCTTCATGTGCCAATTCTCTGGTAGCGTGCAGGGCGGCTCTCCATTCCTTTCATGCCAAATGAGGGTCCATACCGTTTGCTTTCTTCCCTGAACGATTGAGTACGTCAGAACGAAAACACTGCATCCAATTTCATCCCCAATAAACATGTCATCTGAACAGAACGGCTTTCTAGAGCACCAACGCGCCAGGAGTGAGCAGAGCGATATATATCAAGCGAATCTGTCACACACACCGCCCGAAAAACTGCCGCTGAAAGTCGTGAGCAGTATTCGAGTCCCACGCCACCCTCGCCGGAAGTGCAAACACTAACCCCGTTTGATGAAATTGACACGCTGCCAGATTGTCACCACAAGATTCCTATGCAATATTTCCCCGGCCATAATCCAAGTGCCCAAAAGTCCAGAGGAACACAGCATCACCATTTATGTATGTTTTGGACAATTTTGCCCCGCAGGTCTGGGACAGCTATTATTCCGATAACCATTTCCAAGTAGAATATTTGATAGTGGTTAAGTTTTAGCTCGGGTACGATAACCAAGCCCGAAACTCCAGGAATTCCGGAGCCAGGAAGAGAAGGGAAGGTAAATATGCGGATGATAAGTGCCTAGAATAACTGGCGGCCAACTTCCTATAATATATGATGATAGCGCACCTCTTTAAAAACCTCCTGACATGGTTATGACATGTCATGGACATGACATGACATGACAGGGCGCAGCATAACCTGAAACGACTTCTAGTATGGATATTATGCGACATGGTATGGCATTTTCGGACATGAAATTGAGTGTGTGACGTTGTTAGATATGCTGTTGTTGTGTATATGTTGTTTTTTGGAGGGTATGGGTGTGTGTGCCCCATATTGGTGCCAACTGATGGTAGACTGTATGTAATGCAATTAAGCATGACCGTTGCCATCGATTGTTGAAATTAGTTGAAAGGTAGCTTTCATATTTGTTCCGAATATATTGTATAGGAGTTTTGTTGTGCACCATGTCGGTTATCTTCATATGCTGCGCACTGCGGGTCTTGCACAATTGCTGTCAGGAGCATTTTCTATCTGGATTGATGAGAGCATGGTTTTAAGCATGCCACTCTAGTTTTTTGCTTCCAATTTCAGATCTTGGGAAAGGCATATTCTTCATTTTGTTTGAGAGCCTCAGAGCCTTTATACAATTTTTAATCTTCAGATGTACAGGGCCCTATCATATCAACTGGAAAATGTGAAAAAATGAAATGTTATTTTGGTTTGATTGCTAGTTTCTGTTGCATTACATGCGCTTGTCTTTTTATTAGAGAGAGAGAGAGAGAGAGAGAGAGAGAGAGAGAGAGAGAGAGAGAGAGAGAGAGAGAGAGAGAGAGAGGAGAGAGAGAGAGGAGAGAGAGAGGAGAGAGAGAGAGAGAGAGAGAGAGAGAGAGAGGAGGAGAGAGAGAGAGAGAGAGAGAGAGAGATAGAGAGAGAGAGAGAGAGAGAGAGAGAGAGAGAGAGAGAGAGAGAGAGAGAGAGAGAGAGAGAGAGAGAGGAGAGAGAGAGAGAGAGAGAGAGAGAGAGAGAGAGAGAGAGAGAGAGATGAGAAGAGAGAGAGGGAGAGAGAGGGAGCGAGAGAGAGAGAGAGAGAGATGTGTGTACATATAAGGCGTCCTAGCCCACAACGGGGGCCTCTATTTAAAAAAGGGGGCCTCATAGTTCAAAACGCTTCTACAAACAATGAGGGCCTCTTTGCTCAAAACGGAGGCATCCTAGCCTATTATGGGCCCCAAAGCTCTAGCTCAAAGCGGGGCCCTGCTAGTCCACGACGGGGCCTTCTAGTTCATTAAGGGCTCCCAGTTTATGACGGGGCCTCCTTTTCCAAAACCGGGCCTATTGTCATCCCTAGAGCCAGTTAAGGGCCTCTTTGGCGCAAAATGTGCATGAGCAGGAGAGCATGAACTACCTTACTGATAACGGCGTTCTCATGATCCATAAAACGGGGCTCTCTCTGCAGAAAGAGCAGACTGAGCCGGATCAAACACCCTGTGGCTCAGTTCTGAGGGCCTCCTCGATCGGCGTTCTGGTAATACACGTGTGTGTTTGCTTGAGCAAAAGGTGCCACCTGTTTTGGGGGGGGAAACAGTCCTCCCCTCCCGGTTGCGCCACCACTGATGGAGGGCAAAGTCGGCCGCTCGCTGTCGGCGCCCGGACCGCGTGTTTCGCTTACTCTGGCCTCGGACCGGCGCAGGTCGCTGACGACATCAGTGTCTGACCCGGACGTCAGATGGAGGGGGAGGGGGTCGCCTCCTACCTTTAGCGTGTGAGGGCGGCGCCCCGAGCCGCCGGTGACTTCGGCTGCGTGGCCACGTGCCCGGCCGAGTCTCCGCCGTGGCCGCTGCCCCCTTCTCCGCTCCACCGGGCCGGCGCCGTCAGGCTACTGCGACCATGCCATGTCATTGGGGCCTTGCGACGCACTCAGCTGCTGAGGCTATATAGCTTCGCCTGCCTCTCACCTTGGCAGGAAGGGCGCGCACCGCGGGGAATCGAACCCCGTACCTCTGGTTTCCCAGACGCGCAGCGGTTAACACAGACGCGTTAACCACTACACTACCGGCGCCCCGCTACCGTGATCACCCGCCGTGGTTTCCAAATAGCTCATTTTCAGTGACCGAGATTTGCTAGTGAGTGCACTAGGCCGTCAGCATCGATCTTGCGAGCTGGCTGCCAGGAACGCTGTCATCAAATAATTGCGGGTGTTCGAAACAGATTAAGACTGAGATTAGAAGCCAGCATTCAGTGGCTGTTAACGTCTCCTCGGTTTTGGAACATCTGAAACGTGGAAAAATCTGGCGCGGACTCCTGCGGTGGGAGGGCATTTCCTTGAACCGAATAGAGAACTAAGGGTCTCTTGCCATAATGTTGTAGACGATCCGTAACATTGTTCTGTCAAAATCACTGTCATCTCAAAGGTCAGAGACATTTCAGAATGCATAACTGCTACCATCGTTAATGGACCTCCTTTGAGATTCCCAGCGCGGAATGGATGCAATAGATTTGGGTCAGAACGGGACATTGAAACAATGTCTCGGTATGTCCGTTCTAATTGGCAATCAGCCAGACTTCGTTCGATATATTGACCGGGAGTAACTGAGTCACCAGCACGAAAGCCCCATCGCACCACCGCAGCCCGCAGAGGAGCACCATCCGTCCGCCATCCATGCTCTTGAAGCACAACATTCAAGACCTACGTCTCACGACGCCGCGGACTTCTTCGCACGGCCCGCGAGCCACGCGGCGTTGTTCGACGGCGCCCGTGACAAGCAGGTTGGGCTCGTGAGAGCTCTCATTAGATACGCTGTTGGAAGCTGACTCCATGCCAGATTCAGGACAACTAAGCTCTTCCATCATGCTGCGGGAGAAACACTGATGCACTTTGGCCGTGTATTGACAACAAATAACGCGGCGGGTCCATTCGGAGGTCCGAGCCGGCACATAAAACAACCATAAAATAGACTCACAGATCGCTACTTGGAATGAACGGGGAAAACGAGGATTTGATGAGTCAGTAAAAGCACAGAGGAGACATTCAACAAATGACTTTGATATGGTGTTTAAGGCGGCCCTGGGTGGCAAAACTTGTCGCACGACATCTGAGAAATAGCTAACAGAGAATTCCCGCGGAACGGATGCCGAACCGCCTGAAGCCGAAGCAGGCCTCGCCATCTGCGCAGATAAATACACATGTAGCCAAATGGAAGGCTATTGATCGGCGCTGTGTGTGCTCAGTAGATTCGTGTAAACAAGGAGCGATGTCGCGTCAGGTCAGCCCTAGAAGCGAGCTTCGCAGCAAACAGCGAGGCGTCGTCTGCGCCCGCACCTGTTGTGGGCGCCACCCTGCCCAGGCCGACCAGCGCCATCGCTCCTCGCAATGCCGCTCTCATTGCGTCGCCCGCCGACCGGCGCTACGGAGCAGCAGCGGCGGCGAAGTCGGAGGTCGCCGAGGCGCGGCACCGCGGGCCTCGACGGCCGGGCGCAGGGCGGTGTCGGTCCCGCGGGAAGGCGATGGAAGCGATACGAGTCTCGGTGGCACGCGCCGCGCCGGCTCGATCCTGCCGATACGCTGCTGCGATCGGAAGATACGCGAAGGCCAGGGTCGACGCGGGCCGGCCCGCGCGGCCCGCGATCCGGCCGACAATGGCCGTGGGGGCCTGAGACCCCTCCCACGCGACGGCCAGCTGGAACGTGCCGTGTCGGGTCCGGATCCGCACCTCCGCAGAACCGGGGTTTGGTGGGAGCTGGCTGTCAGGACCCTTTGTTTCCAGACTTTGGATGGTGGGAACCAGCTGTCCGCCCCGACCGGCACCACTGGAACCCAGGCCGTCCCGCACCGGAGTGCCACGACACACTTCCCATCCCCCCTCCCCGACCCGAAGCACTACAGCCCCTGGCTGTGAAGTCACGCGGTCGGTGTCATCCACGGCGAAGGTCCTTTTTGGAGAGCTTGGGATGACTTATAGCGATATGGGGCTTATCATGGGCAAGAAACGCGTTGTGCTCCTGGTACTTCAGCATTGTGGGTCTAGATCTCTCATACATGAGCTCTGGCGATGTAATCATTGTTTATTTTATGACGTCGTTTACCAGTACCTCCTGGTTTGCTGAATGTCGTATATCATCAGCATACGAATTCCAAACTTGCATTGTCAATTCTTGGACTGTTGCGCTGCATAAAGTGTTGCTAAGAGTGTTTTCAACTCAGGTGCTGTCCATCGCCAGGGCTGAGCGTTCCTCACCCTGGGATGCGACAACGCTCTCGACATTCTGTTATGGATGGAGATAACGCCAGAGCCTCATCCTGCGGCGGCACATCTGCGCCAACCAGGTACAAACGACATGCTATCAATTTGCTCAAAAAGTGCTTCGAGCCATTCATGAACACGTTTGACGCCTTTACTGCGCAGTGTTATGTCGGCTGCGCGCTGCCCAAAACCACTTCATGGATGTGTGCCAAGTAGATGTGTACCAAGACAGAGGACATGCCACGTCCTTATGCTGTGATCCGCGTCGGGCAAGGATCACCCTACCAGACGCTACTGAGTCTCGACTGGTGTTGTTTCGCGCAGCAAACCAGCTGTCCCCTTAAATCATCACTATCGCTGCATACCAGCAAACGAGATGTGACGGCGTTCGTATGAAGATGCCAGGCTGAAGGTGCATGTGGCCTCCATCAGCCAGCTACAGAACAGAGCCATGTTTTGCCGCGCCACCCAGGTCGCATGATTGACAGGGCCGTCGATGACATCGGTGACAGGTAACTGGTTTGGCCGTCGCCACTTTTTCCTGTCAGGGATTCACATGGAACAGCGTGCCCACGTGATACGAATCTACATTCCTTATGACTACCATGCGCAGGAACATTAACAAAGCTGCGAGCGAACGTACGACAAACAACAATAGGGCGAGCAACGAAGTGCCATTAACATTATCATGAGCAAGAAGTTATACAGATGTTGACCTACGACATAGTCACGATGAACGCCTCAAAGGACACCTTCATAAAGATGACACGCTTTGACCTCTCACATCAGAATGGGGCAAGGGGTGCGGGCGTGCTGTGGTTTGTTGTGTGTAGATATAATGGAATGTATATATATATATATATATATATATATATATATACACTTTTTCATCCATGTCAGATAACATCAGCTGTTTTCTCAACAATACACATCGCCTGCGAACCGGGCTAATATCTATGTACGGGTACGCGACACATGTTATGATGCCCACGCAGTGCACAACTAGGAACCATAGACACAAGATGGACGATGCTCGGCCAACTTCGCTAGTGATAAGACTACATACACGTGATGGTGACACAGTGACGTGTTCATGCCAACGAGGGACAACGAATGAAACGTTTGTAGAAGACCGAGATGATCGAGCACTCCGTAAACGAAATATCCCCTGGAGAGCATCCGACAACCTCAGCAAGGAGTTCCCGTAATGGATGTAAGCCTACAGAGCGAAACCAAAGGATGTCATTAAAATGCGCCGAACAACAGCGCAAAATCCGTACTCAAGCGTGCGTAAAAGATCGCATGAAAAGATTATTTGACATGAGTTGGAATGCCACCAGGTTATTAAGTTTTTCACGCCTGTGTGACACAATGAACTGCCATGGACAACGTTCTTGGAACCCTCAGCCCCATTGCATTTCGAGTAGCCAATTATTATCATTAGTGGCGGTGCTAATTAGAGGTGGTACTCAGGGGCATCACTTTTTAAAATCGGCCGAGGAGCTGAACCAATAAAGTTTACCTATCCTGCTCTCAAATTTTGATTTCTGCTTGGATTTCGGCCACTTTGATTTGCGTATATCATGTCAAAGAAAGCTTTTGTTTAAGGGTTCGCTTTCAAAACTGTGCTGATGCCGAGGAATTACTTCCCATTTGAAGCCGGCAGGACAGTGATAACGGTTATATATGTCGATGATGATGTAGATAGTGATGCCTTTAATCCAAGTGTATTAGCAGTTCAGACACTTAATGAATTTAATTGGTTCAGTATTTTATTTCATTTTTTGCTCATATACATAAGGGACTCAGAACAGCATTGAACAGGCTCTACTCAGCATTGGGAGATGAGGGCAAAAAATTATACAAAACGCTACCCCTGGTGGTACTTATTAATGGTAAGTACGGCGCTCGGGTACCGCTAATGCGGTTACGGGGCGTGCAAGCTACAAGGTGGAGGTCGTCGGGAGAGATCATCAAGACCTGCGAGTTCTACGACCCTGCAGCGGAGTGGCGGCGCTGGAGAGGCGCAGCTGCCGGAGAGACCCGCCGTCACAAGTGCTGCTGTCCACACGAAGTCCGACCTGCTACTGCGGCGACTGCACTGCATGCGGTACACATCACCTGAGACCAGAGGAGCACCAGCGTCCACCAGTGAGAGCCCACCAGAGCAGACCAGGCCTCACCACACCCGGCCCGACCAGGCGCGGGACCACGCGATGACGCCGCCACTGTGCGTCAGACTAGTTACGTCAACCTCCAACAGAGGCTAGTTCTGTGCGCCGAGAGGGTGCTGGAGGCTGCCGTCACCACCCTATTTTTCCGAGATGTGACGCGCTGCGGACGCGCTCTCACCGAGCAAGCTTGGCCGGCGCCAACGCAGCCGTCAGATTCATCCCCAAAGAGACAGAGAGTTCGCGAGACACACCGCGTGCCCGCCTTCTGCGGACTCTCGCAGCTCGCCCGCGGACTCTCGCAACCCGCCCGCGGACTCCCGCAGCCTGTCCATGGACTCCCGCAGCCCGCCAGCGCCGACCCCGCGCTCGAGAGCCGCCGTCGGCCACCGGCCTGCACCTCACACGCAGTCGGCCCGCCCGTTGGTGCCGCCCTCGCGGATGACGTTCGTGGTGCGGTCCAGGCTGTGCACCCGCTCCAGAGGCCACGAGCCGAGCGCGGTGGCCGCCTCGTGCGCGCGCGCGCCCCTGCCCAGCACCGAAGCGCAGCTGCTCTGGCGGCCGTAGCGACTCGCGGCAGGGCCGCCTGGTGAACCAGCCGCCTCGGCTCGCAGCACGCTGTTCAGCCGAGAGCTGGTGGTGGAGGAAGCCGTGTTGAACGTGCTTTGGCGGCTGAGGTGGCGGCCGGCCGGCGGCACGCCCAGCACCTTCAGGAACGCCTCGCGGAACTTGGATGACATCACATTGTACAGGATGGGGTTCATGGAGCAGTTGATGTAGGTCATGATGCGGCAGAAGAAGTTGATGTTGTGGTACAGCTCCCAGCCGAGGCCTAGAATCTGCTCGTCAGGAGAGATGATGATGAAAAGCCGGAACACACAGGACGGCAGCATGCATAAGAAGAAGCAGACAATGACGGCGATCAGCATAAAGACGACCTGCTTGCGTGCGCGGTAGTTGCTGGTTTCTGCGCCGTTGCGCGGGTCGTGACTGCGCGAGATGCGGAAGTTGGACTTCTCTGTGCGCGGCTCTCGTATCAGGTGCAGCGTGATGACCGAGTAGAGCACCAGCAGCACCAGCACCGGCAGGAAGAAGAACGTCACGTCCTTCGAGATGTAGTACAGCTTGTTCAGCGTAGTGTGCGCCATCGTGGTACAGACGGGCACTTTCGTGCTGTCTGTGTAGTCCACCATGTTGTACTGCACTATCCATAAGATCGGACTGCAACGGAAACGCAAACGTCAGACACGGAAAGACATTTCGACGGGACGCCACAGACACAGAACCCGGGACGGGGGACGGGCTACCCATTTATCGTACCAGTGCAATGCTGGCTGCAGTCTTTCGCACAGAGAAGCCGGACAGCTGTTCGACCCAGATGTTTATGACCTTATCATGCAGTCAGCTCAAGTCCGCCTCTGACCAATGACAGCCATCGCGGCTGGTGAAGGGAGATCGTACGTGACGCTTGTCAGGAGTAACATATCACAGCTGATGACGGCCAGTGATATGTGCTGTGGTCACGAACAATATATCGCAGCCGATGACGGGAGGTGATATATGACAGAGGTCACGGGTAGCATTACCAGGGGTGGAAAAGTTTCCGATGTACCGGACGTGATTGGTGAAAAAAATGAGCATTTTTGCGACCTATTTGGTGACAGAATTGCAAAAATGTGAGAAGATCACAACAGACCGTCCCAGTCAGGCCAAACTAAATGTTTGGTATTGGTGTACACTCACAGCGTGAACTTGCGTACAGCATATGTAAAAAAATTGCAGTTTTGCTGTATGACCAAGTAAAGCGACAGATTACTTCTAAATAAATATGTTCCACGCACCGAATTTTCAGGATCCCGTCCGGTCCAGACAGATTGCTTCTAAATACTTGTGCTCCACGCATCGCATTTTCAGGATCCCGTCCAGTCCAGACAGATTGCTTCTAAATACTTGTGCTCCACGCCCCGAATTTTCAGGATCCCGTCCAGTCTAGCCCGGTTAGTCCAAACCCAATCCGTCCATCCGCTTTTTTCGCACATTTCCAACCAATCCGATCCGGTCCTCCTCCAAAAAATATATCAAGTGAATCCGTGTCAATTCGTTCCCGCATTAAGGGCTTTTTGAGATTTTAACAACAAATTTGGTTCACCTGAGTGTCTTGAATTTAATGAATTTGCTGCTTTCCACCGAATACAAAATTGTTTGATGCCTGTCAGGAAAGCAATGTTGCATAAATATGATAACAAACGAGGCTCATCATGTTATAAATCATTTCACAATCATTTTGGCGAATAATTCACAGGCATCACCACAGGGTAGAAACCAAAAGCTTTTCTGGTTTTATTAGGGTAAAGGTATGAGCACATTAACTCACATTTTCAGAGTTCAGGTTATGTGCAACATACCTATACATGTCATTAGGCACTTCCAGCCGCACCCAAATCATAAGCGCAGGACAACACTCATCTAATACTCATTCAATAACTAGAACAGCAACAGACATCGATTTGTAATCTTTTGTGAGGACCATGTCCCACCTCCCCCCCCCCAACGTTGAGATGAGCCCCAATGCTGGCTTGCCCACACTCCCACCAAATACCATTGGCTGGCATATCACAAAAGTGAAGGAAAAAGTTGGCCATCACATAAAGACCATCTTTTTTATCCTCCCTGGAAATGGCGTCGACATGGAGGGCGCATTCAACATGGGACATTAACCCGACTCCGCAAACTCTTTTTTCCTCAAATGAGAGGGAGCTTTTGACATGGGACTGTAAGCCATAATGTATTTGATGATTGTGGTTTGTTTTGCCCCTCAAACGTGACCCCAGACGTTTTTTCTTACTACATACCAAACATGGCATTAACGCCACTGATTCCCCGGTCTCGTGGAGACTTTCACGCCCAAGGACCTTTGATGCTCTACTTATGGTGAGTTGCGACTCTTGCATTGGTTCATTTGAAGATGAGTTCCGATTTGTTTTGCTATGAATTCTGATGAAAAACGATTCGGTTGACATGTTTGGTTTGAGGTAAGGAGGCGTAGCGTCGTTAGGTCGGATTATAGGCCCAGTTCGACTACAATGGAAAACGGAAATTTTGCTGGGACTTATTTTTCTTTAGTCATTTTTTTCTGTGCTGGGCATGATTTATCGCTACCACTCCGACAACACCATCCCATCATTTTAAGCCATGTTCAACGGATCCATTTCGCCTCGGCCCGTTATGCAACTAGCACGAAAGGACCTTTACCGTGCCATGCGGCCGCACGACTGCCGTCCGCTCTGCAACTAGGCTGACACTTTCAAGCCTACGGTCAAATGGTCCTCTGTCAGGCAATATGCGAACACTTAATCTGAAAGGCAAACCTGGGCGAACCTACCTCCTTATGTTTCCCAACATCAGTAAGCGGTCAGTTTAACATCAGCGTTCTACCGAAGCTGGGTTTCCGCCACGACCACTGATTTGTCTTCGCGGCAATATGCGTACTTTTTGCGAGCATTTTACGCATTGCAGCAAATGGGTTCATAGAAAGGCGACGTACTTAAGCCGTTCATTCACTAACTTTTCGTTCAGAGATTTCACCTGTGACCTAGAAAGCAGTCATGCGTAGTTATCCCTCGCCCTAGTTCGCTATTTTCGCGGACTGATGAGGGTACGATGCGACCCCCTGGCGTCTCCACACTTAAAAAGATAAAGCGTAGCACATATAAACATAAAGGGTAGTGTGCTGTGCTGAATACGATCTCGCGATTTGTATTGGCTTTTACGTTTTTAAGTGAACAATATATTCCATTATACCCGGTCAAATATCAAATTTTCCCGACAATGCACTTTCCAGCTTTACAATATTATGTATACAACTTCATGCTTCGTGGTTATTTAAAACCTCAACAGCTGCGACGAGCGGCGGGACTCAGGTCTGCCGCAGTGGCGTGCTGAAGGGGTGGAGGCCGTTCTTGAGATAAACAGGGGGAGGGGGGGGGGGGGAGACAAACCTGCCCTCTAATTAATGGCATGCTACTGTGGAACCCGGTCAACGTTGAGTCAACACCCAGACAATTATCATGGCAAAGTGTGGGTTTATGCTACAAGTGTTTTACGCCTTGCCCTTTTTCTTACGAATTCGTGATGTGTGATCATTAGCCCAGACTCGTAGCTAGAACACGCGATGTGGTGTGCGTAAATATGTCCTTAACTGGAAAGCGGATAAATGATTTGAGCGGTTATGCCATGTGCGCTACCCAAATGCTACTTTTGAAAGTCGCGATCTTGTTCCGCGAGCGTCGTTTAAATCAGAACTGTTGCGAAACCCTGAACAAGTTCGTCACATGACGACATAGTCTCAGCGCCCAAAGTCCGTGATATTCAAACAACCCTACAAACCACGGCCCGTCACGCGTACATGGGTCCGCCATCCATGTAACCCAGGCTTTTTCATAGGCTACCCAGCGCTGGATTTCTGGTTGTTGGGTCTAGATCGGGGAGTACATGTTTTCAACGCGCGGATTTTACAAGTTCAGAAATTCCCAGTCAGGGCAGTGATTACTGGTGAGTGTATCCTGTGATGACACATCGCTCTTACTTTTTCATTTAAGCGAGTCTGTAAAAATCGCAAGCCAAATACAGATAACCTTCAATATGTGTTCTTAGTACGTGTTCAGGTGGGGGGGGGAGGGGGGACTAAATTTGACCCCCCAAAGGTTTCTACATGATGATTTTTCAACCACGTGACGTAACCGCACCAAACTTTGCACAGTTGTAGGCAAATGAATAGCAGATCTTTTGATTTCTGATAAATTAGATTTACCGTGTAAGGTCGATGTTCTATGACAGGTGAAAGTTAGACCATGACTGTCAACGAAGGCAATTTCAATGGAAATGCTTAATCTGATGTGACAACGGAGTGTTAGATCAAGCCATAATCTCTGAGATAGTTTCTTAGGCAATAAAGCCGTTGAACTAAGGATGCCAACAAACAAACTCCATTGACCTAGGATCACCTTTGATGGTAGGACCGTGGTCACAACACTCGGAGAGTTTTTTCTGGGTCCCCTCTTGACTGAAGAGCTTGTTTTATGATATAGTTTTTGGTGATTGTTTCCAATTTATTGATAACGGGACCACAGCTCACATCTCCCATGTACCTCTTTAAGGTTGAAGTAGGTCGCTGACTCAAAGTGCCTTATCAACCATTTGTTTTTGGGAACGTATGGTCCAGCCTACCACTAATACTTATGCAAATTTTTAAAAATCAAAACAATCTCGCAGGTATTTGGTCATTACGGTATTCTAAAGGTCAAATATGGTCGCTTACCTAAAATGAACACCAGTGAACATTTGCTTAAAATAAGTATCTCGGTTCAAGGCCGTTGCGTGAGAACAGGAAGCACTTCGGCCATCAATGTTGAGTTTGATCTTGCTTGACCTTATTTGCCTCAAATGGCATGGCCCATGGATCTCTAATTGACCCCCACCAGCAAAATATTCATCGGACCATGCGGGTACGTGTAAGTAAAAAATGTCTGTATTTTTAGCTATATAATGCAACAGTGGTGCCAAGTGTGATATCACGCGGGCTGACCGCTGGCGGAATGGGGCAGTTGTACAGAGCATCACCATACGGGACGTCAGCCGGAGGTATGTGACAGCTGTGTCGTGTGTGACATTCCACGAAATGATCGCCGGCAATATCTGACAATGATGTCGGTCCGGAATGGTGTCACACTGGATGACAACCGGCGGAACGTGACGGCCGCGTGGCATCTGGCGACCGGCTGGTGTCCCCTGCCCCGTCGTAAACAGCGATATTATGGCCGGCTCCGGCCGTCGGCTTCAACAGATATTGGCCCCCGCGCTCTCCGCCTCGAATCCGATTCTGTTTCATCCGTCGCAGCATTGACCAAATGTTTGAACTTGGGAAGGGTCGTCGTTCAGGGCTGCGAAGCAGCTCGCATTTGCTCGATAAGGGTGTCTACCGTCCAAACTAACACTTTCATTTCCTCATCACAGCGGCAGAAATATTCATGAAATGAATTTTAATTAAGCTTTGTACTGCAATGACAGCAACGCTAATGGAAAGCGCTTGAGTACAATTATGCTGGTCCAAGACGCGGTAAGAACTTTTTTCCAGTTGTGACTGGCATAAGGAACCATTCGTCTTCGACCCAGCGCCCTTTGCTTCTGTCTCCGATTAAATCTCGGCAGTGCGCGATGATACCTGAATCCAACCGACGCAAAACTGATGGCAACGTCGAAGAACAACAAACGAACTACACCACCTTATGCGCTCCGTACTGCGGTTAGAATATTCCATGCCGACACTCGCGGATATTGGGACGATATGTCAGCGTCTTATCATAGTAAATACATCGTTGGTCGATAAACCAATTGTAATAAATCACGCCGGCGTAAAGTATGGCTAATGGTTGTTATTGATGTTGTGGAATGTTGTCAGGTGTTCAATACTATAACACCGTTATGAGTTTTTGTGATTTATTGGGCTACGCCGGGGTGTAAGTGAACAAACGGTTTAAGGTGTTAGACTTGGTATCAAAAGATCTGGGATTCAAATCCCCTACATCAACTTTTACGGACGGCCATCACAGGATAAGCAAAGCAAATGAGTAGTTTCTCATTACAGCTTTGCAGATTATCTTCACATTATGTAGAACACACTAAGGATTTTCAAATATTTAGAACCTTTCCATTTCAGAGCATAGGGATACCGTTAAATTTTCACATCTTGCCGAGTTGTCAAATATTGACGTTCTGACAGCCTCTGATTTATATTAGCATCCACGGGGTCGCCTTAAGATTTCGCAATAATGCCCAGCTCCAAAGTCCTTACATAACCACAAGCTAGATTGCGAACTATTTCTGCTGCATCAAGCGTTTTGTTATCACCACCGTTAAGAGTTATAGGGACACTGCCTGCCGTGAGTGGCATGTTCGTCCGACGACTTGGGGAACAGAATGCTCGGTCAGAGCTGTTTGTGACCATCTGATATCCGTCATTTTGCTCGCGCGCTGCGAATGACGACGTCTCTCTCTCTCTCTCTCTCTCTCTCTCTCTCTCTCTCTCTCTCTCTCTCTCTCTCTCTCTCTCTCTCTCTCTCTCTCTCTCTCTCTCTCTCTCTCTCTCTCTCTCTCTCTCTCTCTCTCTCTCTCTCTCTCTCTCTCTCTCTCTCTCTCTCTCTCTCTCTCTCTCTCTCTCTCTCTCTCTCTCTCTCTCTCTAGCTTTCTCTCTTTTTCTCTCTCGCTCTCGCTCTCTTTCTCTCGCTCTCGCTCTCTTTCTCTCGCTCTCTCTCTCTCTCTCTCTCTCTCTCTCTCTCTCTCTCTCTCTCTCTCTCTCTCTCTCTCTCTCTCTCTCTCTCTCTCTCTCTCTCTCTCTCTCTAGCTTTCTCTCTTTTTCTCTCTCGCTCTCGCTCTCTTTCTCTCGCTCTCTCTCGGTCTCTCTCGCTCTCTCTCTTGCTCTCTCTCTCTCTCGCTCTCGCTCTTGCTCTTGCTCTTGCTCTCGCTCTCTCGCCCTCGCTCTCGCTCTCTCGCTCTCCTCTCCATCCGCCGGCAGTACTGACCTGGACGTGACGAGTGCCGCCAGCCAGACGATCACGATGACCACCAGGGCGCGCATCTTGGTCCACGTGTAGCCAGCTCTCAACGGCTTGCAGATGGCATAGTAGCGCTCCATTGAGATGGCCATGATGGTCAGCACGGACACATTCACCACGAGCTGCTCCAGGAACGGCACCATCAGGCCTGCAACAAGGCCAGCACGGATTCAGTGACGGCAGGGTGTAGGGGACGACATCCTTGGGTAGGTGATGTGTCCAAGGTCAGCCCCAGTAACAAACCACCAAGGGCCCGGCACGCTCGGGTGTGGTACCAAAAGTCCGCCAGCATGGGCAAATGTAATAGTGGGGACGAGAGAAGGCGAGGTCAGATTGTTTGCGGACCGCAGTTGTACACACTCAAACAAATTCAACTCCAGATTGGTGTCCAGAGTGACCCCAGACCTTCGCACGCAACCACATCGAGCTTGGATACCTGTCCGAAGCGAGAGGCCACTGTTGCTTTTTTAAGTTCGGTAACCTTGTGTGACCTTTCAAAGGTCGTGGTGACCGAGATCATGCAAGACTTCTTTGATTTTTGCATTTGAAGAATCGATTACGCAAGGATTACGCCAAGCAGTATGCCCCCAACAAAATGTTGACGTGCGTCATTCTAGGTCAGTGACCTACCCTGACTTTTAAGAGGTCAATGTTAAGTGTATAATGCGTTTCCCGCTCTCAATAAATTGAAAATTAGCACCAGAAACTACCCAATACAGCAGGTTCTACAGGGATAAAAACAGGTTGGTTTTAACCTTGGTCTTACCTTGATATCTAAACTTAGATGAATGGAATTTGTTAATTCAATTATTGTATTGTCTAGGAAATTATCACAGAGATGTATGACTCCGTCTAACACTTCACTGTTGCATCACATTAAATGATTCTCTGGAGACTATCTTCACGGAATCCATGGCCTGACTTTGACCTGCCGTAGGTCCGTGACCTTACAAGATACATCTGAAGTTTTGATACAAAACGATCTGCTATTCAATTGTCTATATATTTACGAACTCTGGCGCGGCTACGTCTTGCCGTTCGGAAATCATTCCGAAAAAACTTCGCGGGAGTAAAATTGGCCCCCCTCCCAAGCGCGTGCTGAGCCCCGTCTACAAATTGCGACCAATGACATCGCAGGTAAATGCGTCACAACGTTTCTAAGGCCTTTGAGTACAGTCCCTTACGTGTGACGTAGCCACTTGTGATGTCATAAGTGAAAACATCAGGTAAGTATTTTGCCAGTGAAAGACTGTACCCAGGTGATGCTGAAAGTTTCGACCTGCCGCCTCGGAGAACAGCCATACCGTCTCCAGACCGCGCAGCCTACATCACCTGCCAAACAGCCCAAACCATCCATCACGCAGATCACATCACATACCCCTACATTTCACGTCAACTGCCCCGCAGCCCACATGACCTGCCTCGCAGCCCGCATCACCTGCCCCGCAACCCGCATCACCTGCCCCGCAGCCCCCGTCCGAGCAGCGGGGACCGCTGTGACCGACTTCTGGCGTGCGTATGGGTTTGCGCCCCGAGGCCCCGATTACGTGGCTCGTCAGCGGCTGTCAATTGGCAACTGGCCAAAAAGGCCAGGATGTAACGGGACAATCGCGCCACGGCGTTGCGTGAAAACATTAAACGGTTTCCGCGCCAATCGCCCGCTACGTTAAAATCCCTGTACTGGGGTGGTGGGTACCAGCTGTTTTAACAGGCCATGCCTGACAAGGACATTGATTTCAAATATATATCTGCGAGATATTTGATTAACTCCAAGAACCCCAAGCAACAGCTGGGTAGTTCCAGGCTTCTCCGGGTCCATCAGTCTGCACCACAAACATAGCTTCGAATGTCCAGGCCCACAGGCTACAAGACCAGCCTGGATGCTTTGAATGCGACTGTCGGATGAAATATGAATGCCGGCTTTCATGTTACACGGCTTGGGCATCAAGGCCGATAATTTACTGCGTAAGATGTCCTTTGATTCGCGAGCTGGATGAAAGAAGAATGATGCAATGAAGATGATCTTTGATGCAACCACCTACACGCAGGCAAGGGAAGGACGCGAGCACATTTCACACATCGTGCAGACCAAGGGCTTGAACCAACCAGATCAGGATGGTTTCACGCTAGGACCATGACGAGGCATCACAAACAATAAAACAAAGCGCCGTTGACGTTTTCACTAATAAGCAGATTATACCATCATTAATTTTTATCTGGCAAGGCGCAACAAAATGCGTCGAGTAAGACGCGCTGAGCACTTCACCATCAGCGGGCACTGAAGTGGGCAGCGGCGCCAGACGGGTTCTTCAGCTCATTTTCTCCAAACGTAATCCAAACGCGGCGATGTGGCATGCTTCCAAGGAGTTCCGTCATTATCATATGAGCGAGAAGTCATAACCGGCGGGTAACTGCAACTGTCATGACATCACGTTTGGTGCCGGAGAGCTAAAACGCCTGTTAGCAAGTGGCAACTCCCTGCAAAGGTTAAACGATTGCATGCAGCGTTGCAACGTTCGTAGGTCACGATTCGCCGGGCGGCCCAAGTCTCCCAGGATGCCCGTCAGGGAGGCGGCCGGGCCAGACGTGCCGAGAAGCCAGCCACGCGCGCGATCTGCTGCTGATAAATTCGCCGTGAGACAAAGCTCGTTAATTAATGTCCAATCTCCGGCGGAATGAGTCGGCAGCGGGCGGCTGATTTTCGGCCGCGGCGCTCTCTCGGTTCCGTAATCGGCGGCGCAGGCCCAGCGACGGCTGGAGGCCGACGGCACGCGCCGACGGCTCCGCCCTTATGACGCAGCATGCCACGCTCGTGCGACACCACGGGTCGACCTGCCAGGTCCAGCCAGGCTAAAAAAGGGCCCGCCGACGCTGAGAGGACTTATTAGAGCGGGCCAGCGCTGTGCTTCGAACAAAGCAAACGGCGTCGGCGCGCTCGAGCCCGTCCGGGCGCCATTGGAACTGGTGTTTATGCGTCAGCACGTGGTATTCGGAAGGATTGGCGGTACCTCTGGGACGCGATGAGGCAAGACACCAGACGCTGGAGCAGCTTGCGTTGAATCGAATGGCATTACACCACGGCAAACACTGTGTGCGGTCTTATCTTTTGCGTGTATCAATGCGCGCTCAAACAGTTGAAGCCTGGCATATAAAAAGAGGACGCAAGGTCTTCCCATCAGGAAGAAGTCAACACAGCTCATTAACTGCCATGTATTTTGGCTGGAAATGTTACAGCGGAATGCTCAGACCACATCGTGAATTGCCCAAGATCAGCAGGAAAAAATAAAGGAGGACGTCTATGAGAGAACAGTCATCTATTTCAGTAGCCTTAACATGTTTAGCAGCCTAGTAGCAACGTGACTGACGCACGAAGGTATGTAGCAAAGAAATGCGCATCAAGTCACAAATGTCAGATGGAACGGTCGGGAACGTGTTTGGTGTCTACAGAAAAGCTTCGATATTCCTTAGCACCCCTGCCCCAGTCGGGCTGCCACGCTTCCTATACAGACCTGTCACCGTAATAATCCGGTGCGAGGCAGATACTTCTAAGCGTAACTTTACGTTGCGCAGGTGTCTGGACAGGTTCCAGCGGCTGGCGGGTGGGAACCTTATCGGAACACGGAGCATGCCGCTTCGGTTCGATCCCGACGGTGGCCTCGAAAACTCACCGCCCCCACCCCGCACGGGTGTCCGATGGTTACACGAAGGTGCGTAGCCGACATTTGAGGGATTGGAGACGTGCTGGGAACGTTGCACGAGGATAATCAATTCAGTTTCCTCGTGGTGAAGAATGTCTCGAAATTTCACCTCTGCTCACATCCCATGTACCGTTGGGAACACTCAGCGTGCGCTCCGGCCACCGCTGGGGACCGCTGGGATATGTTGACAGCGTGCACCCCTTCCTCAACATCCCCTTCATTACATACGCTGCGTTCGTCATCTCATGAATATAACTGCGGCTGGCGTGGCACACATGCCGGCAAGTTTCGCAGAAAATGGGGCAGGCTGAGCGCGGCAACAATAAGCACAGCACCGTGCCTGTCTTGAGACTACGGCTGCTGTCCTGGCCGCAATCACTTCTTTTCAAGCCCAAATTAGTTGTAAGATAATTTCGAGCAATGCGACCACAGTATGGGACAAAAATGGCGTATCCTATTCAGCCATAACTCGGTGTCTGAGGAAAATCAGCCGACGTATTGCACATGGCGACCATCCCGCAGGCTGCCATCCTTGTAAGTGACTAAGTGCTTAAATACCATAAAATGGTTAGCACGTAACTGGTTAACTATGAATATCATTCCTTGTGAGAAGGGAATGAAGGTGCATCACAGAAACATGTAGCAAACATGAGTAAGCACTTCCGTTCCTTCGCATCGCTCGAAGAAACAGGCGTGCCGGTGTCTAATGGCATCCGTTGCCCAGAAAACTTGACGACTAATCCTAAGTCACCGTGCAATTCAGCAGAACCTCATAATTGGTATGTGCATCTCATCACTCACCAATATTCGCCCGCCGTGCCACGCGGCCAGACTGCGGCATGCCCATACTCGTGTTTCTGATACGGTACGCGGCGCTCTTCCGATTCCGCGCGCCCGCTCAGCGGCCTACCCATATCGCTCCACAGTCACGTGCCATGACACTTTTGACGCATGATCAATGGAAGCGATTGAACACCTGGGTACCCAGTATCACCTTGTCTTAACACCCTGGCTAACTGCCGCGCCTGTATCGATTCCGAATCGGAGACGCGTGAGCACGGTGTCGTGCACCTCTGCTCAGCTGGCGCCGAGCGCCAGCGCTGCCTGATGTGCCTTTCAAGAAGCTGGTCCGGCCTTCAGGCTCCCAGTATTCTGACCTTTCCAGGCAACTGAGCATGTGCTGAGGAGTGTTCCCAGATAGACATGGCTGAAACGGGTTTGTGGGACGATGATATATGCATGCAATTTATCCCGGCACTGACCGGGCTCCTCAGCGGCACACCATTGACCGGCGGGGCAGATTTGACCCCCCCCCCCCGCTTATCTCAAGAACGGCCTGGTCGAAGTCAAAAATTCAAAGTGCAATCGAGAGCGTGCGGTATTAGACCACACAAAAAACTTAGGCTCAAGCGGTGACCTCGGCGGTGAACAAGCGGTTGAGTCTATTTTC